GAAGCTACCCTGAAGGAGGTGGGGGGAGGCCATCCTGAAGGAGGTGAAGGGGAGAAGCTACCCTGAAGGAGGTGGGGGGAGAAGCTACCCTGAAGAAGGTGGGGGGAGAAGCTACCCTGAAGGAGGTGGGGGGGAGAAGCCATCCTGAAGGACATCATTCTCACACTGGATAGCGTGGTTGGTACAGGCACCAAAACGACATGAAATGTGTCATTGCAAGATGGTCCTATTAAACCTCAATGCCATCCGCAGCATTATGTCACCGAACCCCCCCCCCCCTTGCGAGCAGCTCAGCCATTAGCCACACCATTACCTCGCTGCTCCACTAGGAGCTGCAGCTTTTATTTAACACACAGCCTTCAGGTTGCAGTCTTTCACAGGCTCAGAGGTCCCGCCTCTGAGGACACGCTGGCGGCAGCCCAGTGTCAATAAGGGAGCCTGCCAGCCACAATGAGCCTCGGCTCTGGCGACCGTATTGACAGAGACCTGCACAAAGGCAATGAATGGGGGCCCTTCTGTCATCACACAAGGAAGAATAGTTCAGTGTACTCCCACTCGGGCTCACATTTGTACAGCGTTTGCTGCTTTTGTTCATTGCCACCGTTCCCAGATCAGGGGGTCTGAATCCTGGCTAGCCATGGGCCTGGAATCAGCCTTGGTGTTATAGTCAGAAGTGGATTAACTTCAAAGACAATGTAGCATCAATAATCTATGCAGGCTGTTGGCATTGTTATTTTTGCCGAGTCGTCAAGTGAGGCCAGTTTTGGTAAATCAGTTGGCCAGATTTAATTTAGTAATTTAATTTCACCATCCATGTTTCCTCAGCTGGGGTCCTTGATTGTTTGGGGCCCTAGACTGCAGCCTGCAATAGCTTACAAATTAATCTGCTCTTGGGTACGGTAGATACTTCCTAGATTCAGCAGTGGATTTGCATTGGGTGAGATGTTCTGCAATGGGTCCAAAAAAAAAAAGGTCAGAGTTGCATGGTGGACTCTGGAATGGACATCATCTGTGGAAACAGGTCATCTGAAAGCAGTGAGATGTGCAACCAGAACATCAACCATGATTTTTTTGTGTGATAAACGCACAAGGTTCCAATATTCTTAGTTTATCACGAATGTAACCTAATGGTACCTGAAGTTATGACAGGAGAAACTATGAAAGTTTGTTTTCAATGCACAGCTCCCAGTTTTGCAAGCATGTAATAATATGCATGCATATTAGAGGCTTCTGGGAAACCTACAGAACAGGGTGATTCCAGTCCCATGCAAGATTCACACTATGAGTAACTGAAAGACACCAATTCACCTAACAGCACAATGCTGCATTTTAGGAGAAAACCAAGACAAACATGCAGATTCCACTCACAGCGCCAGAGGTAGGACCCGAGGATGGTAACAGCCAATCAGCAAAGAGGACACTGCTGTCTGTACCGGACAATGACTTCCGCCCTCTGCAGGCTCTTTTAGCCAAACAGAGGAGCACTTTTAGCAACAGGCTGAGAGCAGTTGTGCTGCTCCAAGGAGAGCTATATAAGCTCAGTCTAACCTTCCACCATCAGACTTTACAACGAGTCACCATATGTTGGCCAGGATGACCCACTGTCTGAATGGACCAGAACCACTCACAGAACATCCATTCCTTCACTGTACACCCTATACTATTTATTTCTGAGGAATTACTATGGAATTTCCCTGACATTCTTTGCACTGTTACTATTGTGTATTATTTCTGTTGACTAATGTCTAAATGCCTCCCTACTCTCTAAGCACATGCACTGTGCTACTGTAGATCTGAAATTTCCTTTGGTAATTAATATCCAGAGATTGACTGTATTCATTAATTGCCTTCTGGTGGACTATACGTATAACAGATATGGTAGAGGTTAATTCCTTCCTTCCATCTGTCCTTCATTCTACTTTCAGTCTTCTTAAAACTATCTTTTGTAATTATTTCTTAATGTCTAATATAAAAACCTGAGTCTAGAAATTCTACACGGTTAAATGCATTTACGTGTTAAAAAATGACGCAAATAATACGTAGCAAAAATGCAAAACGGTTAAATGCCGCCATCTAGTGGCTCTATGTGAAAGTTCAGTGGTCTAAGCATTTATTTCCTCATTAGGCTGACTGATAAGGTTCTCATCTCATCTCATCCATCCATTCATTCATTTCACAACCACATTTATAGCAGTGTAGTTTACAGTTGCAAAAAGTGCAGCATTTTTATGTTGGTAAAGAATTCCAAAAGCATTAACCTCCAACAGCATTTACGACTTGTGTATATTCTACCAGAATACAGGTAAGACCACACGAGTAAGAAAGTGCATTACTGGTGATTTAGAAGCAAAGAGAAAACATTTCCGAAAACAACAGGGAAGTCACTTGATTAAAACTGCTACACATGAGCTATATCAAAGTTTTATTTTTAAAATTTATTAGACAGGAACAGTAGTACAATTTAAACAGGAAATGTCATTTTAAGCCTTGAAACATAAAAAGAGTAACCTGACTTGTGGTATTCTGAGTTGGCAGTTGCCGGTTTGCATCGCTGTATAGTATTGTCACTGAAAAATACATCTTTTACCAGCTTAAAAAAATACAGCTGAAAAAACTACTTGCTCATCTTGTAGTGTTTTGCTTGTTTTGTCAATTTACAGCATAAAATCTGAACATAGTTTTAATTCATCTGATAGACAGAAACTGAAGTAAAAACAAATAAGGTTGTATTTCGGATAACCATGGATGACAAAACTGATCAAGAGGAAAAGGCTACGCTAAGGTTTGGAACGTAACTGCAGTCATATTCATTCATGTAAATCAACTACTTAAATAGCTATTTTTTATATATA